CGATGGACCATCGTCACCCACAAAACCAAGTCCTCCTGCGTCGTTTCCCACATTGCTCAATCAAGCACATCCCTAAAATAAAGCGACAATCTATTATAAAAGTTGAACTGCTCATACGAGATCGCCGCAACATAGCACAATTCTACGGAACATCAGCGGTTCAACCCTCCGGCTGAGATGACTTCAGCATACAGCAAGGTCAAAGAGCTGGCCACAGCATCGATTGCCCGGGTTCTAACAGCCTGGGGCTACCTCAGTGCCTTCCTATTATCCTTCACAATCAATCGCGCTTTCTTGGCCTCTGCACTCCTTCCACTCTACCTTCTGCGCCTCGCATATCGCGTCTTGCCTACGATTCTGTGGAATGCACCGCGGCTACTATTCCCGAACGGATGGCGAACGCTTATGAAAGATGCGGAGCAATACCGACAGCGGGCAGACGCGCTAGCTCAATCGCAGCTGGAGGGAAAGTACAAGTTCAAAGATGATGAGATCATCCGGATCGACCAAAAGGGCAAAGGTTGGATGGCTGATATGCCATGGAGGGACAATGTGGAGGAGTTTAACGTATGCGGCGCGACGGCCCGATATGTTCATCTGAAGCCGAGCTATCGCAGCATCGCTACGGATAACAAGGCCTCCCATCGGCCGATCGTCTTTCTGCATGGTAATCCAAGTTGGAGCTATATGTGGAGAAATGTAGGTTCATGTCCATTTGCCACTGCTATCGAGCCCAACTGACCGATGCGCAGGTATTTCCCGCGCTTGTGGAACGAGGCCACGAGGTATATGCGCTGGACTGGCTTGGACATGGTCGCAGTGACAAGATCACCCGTCCGGAAGCCATCACCTTCGAGCTACACATGCGTACCTTGAAGCAATTCTTCGAATCCACTGGTCTTGACAATGCTACTCTCGTGGCTCACGACTGGGGAGGGTGAGTCTACCATCCATTGTTCATTTCCTGTCTGCTGACTTGTGCAGCTGTGTCGCTCTATGCACACTACCTCGCCTCCCGACATCAGCCTGCACCAGACTTTTCTTATTGAACTCCTTCCTTCCTCCCCACATCAGCGAGCTAAGCATGCATCACGCCCTCCTATACGCAACTTGGTTCATGACGACCGGGATTCTCGGCGGGCGTGTCCCGGAATCCGCAATCATGCGCTTCATGTCTCCAAGTATCTCACAGAAAGACGTCACCGGCTACGCAGCGCCTTACAGGAATCTCCCCGCAAAAGCCAAGTCCAGCATCTACCGCTTCTCGCATATGGCCCCGGCTACACCCCGCGTAGTCCTGACAAGTCTCCGATACACATGGTTGTGGAAACTAGTCGAGGGCCTCGCAGGACCATCCAACTTCGACAATCTGAATGCTCAGGCGCGACTTTCCGTTCGCGACCACGAGATCCGGGGCTTCTGGAAATCTAGCGAGAGAGCGCACCAGTTCGAAGTTGCTGTTGTTTTTGGGGAGAAGGATCCGTTGCTGAAAGACTGCAAGGATGTTCTTGTGCGTGCTGTTGAGTCGCGGGTCATGGTTGATTGGGCCCCCTATGGAATTTGGCTAGATGGTGCTGGGCATTATCCGGTCGAGGAGAAGCCGAAAGCGGTTGGTGACTTGATTGCCAGGCTTGCGAGGCATCGCGAACCTACGGTGATGCGCATATCAGGTTGAGTGGTCTCTTGTGTTACATATTTCTCTTGTTTCCGTGGTTGTCACTATGATTACAGGGCTATAGACAATGAATAGACTCAGATAGCGCAATGTCATAATAGTCCTTGTTTGTTGGTAGAGAGACCCTTGTCCATCACTCCAAGCTAAAGATATCGCCAAGGAATCTAGAACAATGAGTAATCAAGAGGATGTCCTCCTCTGGGCCAGATGAGTTCTAGGTCCATGGGGGGTTACACTGATTCCACCTTGCTCAGGCGTGGGAAGTGGTGTATCCGCGGTATTCAGCTCCTGATGGACTAATGTACAAATCCCAGAGGACTCACCCCTGCACCCATGGAATAGCTTCGTAGATGCTTTCACAGCCAAAACTCAACTCGCGCGACCGCCAGACGCACCCAGTCAACCGTGTCCAGGTTCTTGGTGAAGCAGCCACTATCACAGCCACTGGTACCCAACAGGCGCGGGACCAAGTGGATGCCAGCACATCTTGCTGTGCTGGAAAATAATCCTCGGCTGTGCATGGGCGACAAACTCGGTATTAGGACGCTGACTCATCTCGCCCACAGACCGCCGGTACCTGCAGGCAAGAAAGGTGAGGCATCTCGTTGAAATGGCTCAACTGGGCCAGAAGCCGGACACCAGCCCATGATTATCGCCACTGGCTGACCGCAGACCTTTACAGGAAGGTACGGGCAGTTGGGCATGGCTTCTGTGTTGTACCTCACTAAACTCCTTTAGGTCACTAGTAACAATTGTGATTGGCTGGAGGCATCTCATAATCCTTGGCTGGGTCTGGACTGCCGGTGGAACAGGAACTGGTCTAGCCTGAAAGGGAAAAATGGTTTGCAATGGCCAATGAGAAGATGCCAAATGACGTAGCAATCCGTGGGACACATGGCAATTGATTGTTCCTGAACTCTAATTTTCAGAGTTTTTCGTTGTTCCCTGTCCCGGCTCCATGGGATGTGTCATGGTAGGGTGTGATATGTCCGCGGGTTCTTTGTACCTGCATGAAACAGATAAAGAGAGATGGTACAAAAGTAAGTGATGTGTTTGCTGTTTTTCTGCCTGAGTACCTGTGCACCATACTTCCATAATCATAGCCTCTAGGCGCAGGCCACAACCAGAATCTTGGAAAATTATTKCTGTCTCTGATGACATGTGATTCGTAGCAAGGACACCGGGACATAAGAACTGGATTAAGCCGATGGGAGGCAAAAGTGAAAACCCTTTCTTCGACTTCGCGATAGGTATCCTCATCTTCCACCCAAGTGCCGTTGGCGTCCAGACCATTCATGGCGTTTGGCGCCGGCGCTAACTGAGAAATTTTGACTGCCTGTGGGGCTTGCAATAGATCTGGACTGTTCCTCTCAATATGATTCGTGCAATCCTTCAGGCACACTGTTTCTTGAATCTATATCCAATATCGTGGCGTCCAATCACCTCTTGCCAGACAAAGAATGGGTTCTGCTTCCACTTCCCCCCAAGGCTTAGGCTTTGAGGGCGTTCTGATTTTTTGTGCCTAAAAGATTCTCGAACGCCTTGGAGATGGCCCACTCCCATCGCTCACTGAAGATGATAAATTCAGCCATGCCCCCCCAGGTTGTTTCAGTCTTTTTCCATCCTTCAGCACTACCAAAGTCATTCATTCCTTTTGACTCTTTGACTCGAGGTTGATCCTCCACTGTCCTTTACTTCGTCGCTCTCTGTAGATCAGACTGTTGTCATTCCTTCCAACCAACATCATCATCATGTCTTTCTCCAAGATCTTCAGCCTCGCTGCTGCCTTCGCTCTCACTGCTTCGGCCCTCCCTCTCGCTTCCCGCGCCCCCAGCGGCGGCGTCCAGATCGTCAACAACATGAGCGAGAATGTCTATCTCTGGTCCGTCTCCGACTCCAGCAGCGAGATGCAGACCATCCCCACCGGCGCCTCCTACACCGAGAACTGGCGCACCAACCCCAACGGCGGCGGCGTCTCCATCAAGATGTCCACCGGCGCCGACCTCGCCTCCGTCCTCCAGTTCGAGTACACCGAGGCCGGCGAGACCCTCTTCTGGGATCTCTCCTCCATCAACCTCTCTCCCCAGTCTCCCCTCATCGCCGCCGGCTTCGGCGTCTCCATTGACGATGCCAGCTGCCCCACGGCCACCTGCGCCCCTGGCGACGTGAACTGCGCCGAGTCCTACCAGTTCCCCGATGACCACAACACTCGTGCCTGCGGCACCGGCGCCGCCTTCACCCTCACCCTGGGTTAAGCGCTCCCGCCACTCTGTGTGCTGGCCATGAACATCTCCTCGTTCCTCTTTGTACGCTCGTTTTCTACCCCTGGAGGATATGAAAGTTTGTCAGGAACACATCGAGGCAGGCCTTGTTTTACGAGTCACGACTCATACGGCTCACGATTATGCCGAGGATTATACCAACGATGATTTTACCAAAATACAAAACTCCATGTCAATAAATTGATCAAGATATTTAGAGTGCAATTGATTTGATACCTGCTGCGTTGTCACATTTGTCTTACTTTGAGTGTAGTCGTATCTCACGTGGTGTAGTGTACCACCAGCCGGCGCCTCGTGAACTCTATATTGACCCACCTCTTCCCCTCAAACTTAGATCTCGACTGTTTGCGGTCTAACTAAGTCGGGTACGGTCTCATATCCGTTTCATCGTGTACTGACTTTAGTTCGGGTTGCTCGTGTGGCTTGGGTTGTGCAAGTTCTAGACCTCGTCCAAACTGGCCCTAACCACTGGGTGTCTCTGACCGCGTATTCAGGATACCAATCATAATGAGACAGACATGTCCGGGATCAATATCATGGTTGCTCCATCAAGCCACGCATTGAATGCACTTGGGGAATTGTCAGAGGACATATCTAGATTCGGACTGAACGACTTGAGTTTGTAGGAGACGAACGGGGTTGAAGGTGGTATCTGTGTCACTATTGGCTGCGTTAGTCTTCGCGTAGACAAGGGAGAACAAGATGAAACATCTTTGAAGCTTGAGTACGTTTCAGTCAGGATTTGCCAAGATGAAGAGTTTCGGGTGGGAGTCTGGCCACAAATCCGAGACACCGCTCCAGTACACAGATGAACGTTGTCAAAGGAGAAGAAAACCAGCAGGAGGCCATTGCCAGGTGCAGTATTAACTTTGTATGCTTCTATTTCATGGACTTGGTCTCCCTTGCAATAGGAGCAAGACACACATATCAAATTAGAAAATCTGAGGAAACAGTATGTTTATGTACTCAAACGTCAGGTTCAGTTTGACCAAGCCAAATGGTAACTGTTGACACTCAGTTGCTGAATCTCCCACGCTCCATCTTCATTCAAAGTCTTCCAGCTTCAATCCATTCATCTTGCTTTCCAGACCCTGGCGAATAGGATCCAGGAGTGTTCCTAGTCTGCAGCTGTGCCATTCGGCGCGTCCCTTTGTCGACAATCTGGCCTCCCAGAGCGGAGATCGAGCAAAGAGGACCATGCTTCTGGTCAGGGACCCAACGCTCAGGTTCTCGTAAGGGGGCATTGGATCAGGAAAGATGAGATTGGAGAGTCGCAAGAATTTCATCAGAGCACCAAGAAGTATTGAACTGCATTCGAAAGAGCATCTGTGTGTGGAAGAGCTCAGGTCATCGATTACTCGATCGATGGCGGCTAGAGCCTCCCTGATGCTCTGCTGTCGAGACTCGTTGATTGTTTCTGCGGCCTGATTAGCAAAGAAATATAGCTGAGGTAGCTTTCAAGACGATACGAACCAATCAGTCTGTTAGGAATAGGGAGTCCGTATGTTTGTACCACTGATGGACTCTCGACGAGGGCGACCCGCGTAGCTGCGGAGAACTCGGTCTGCTTGCGAAACACCCATGCTATGCATATCCATTGAAGAACAGGCTTTCCAAAAGACTTCGGCATGTCACTCTTCAACTGATCGATCCAGATATCCGCAAAGACCTCCACAACCCCAGGACATTGGTAATAATCAACAATCATCGCGATTTTAGCTAGTGTTTCCAGATCAACCTTGCGAGGTGCCTTGGGCGCGTAGCCATGCATGATGTTCATGATGATGAGCGTGGTGTCGACGTCCCAAATGTCCATGATGACAACTGCAATACCTTCAGAGCGGATCTCGTGCCCTTCGAACCAGTTGCCGTTGAACATGCGGTTGAAGACGGGAGAGGCGAGGGACAAATGTCTTGACGAGACGCGCATGCCGACGAGACCACTCTCCATATGTGCTTCGTTCGTGTCACTAACATCAGAGGTTGGCGGTTGGCGTGAGAGAGTTCCTGGGTCAGAACTGGTATAAGCAGCGTTGGCGTCTGCTGCAGGGGCAGACGTGTCGATTACAAGGGGCGTAGCCGGAGTCGCGAAAGGAAAGCTCTGGCTGCTGGTTTCCATGCTCTGACTAGGAGAGGCTTTATTGACACTGGGGAACAGGAGCATCACATCGCCGTTTGGGTCGAGTGTGTAAGGGTCATTGTCCATAGTGCCAGCGCGTAAGAAGCAGGGCTGTTCCATGTGATAAAGAGTTTAATAAAGTCTCAAACAAACGACAGGAACTTTTGCGAGAAGCATGGGAATGATGACAGTTCTAGATTGCAAGGCACTGTTCACCGAGGACAGTATGTGATGCTCTGTGGGAGAACGGACCTAGATGTCTTGTAGGTAAGGAAGTAAAAGGAGAGAGATGTTGATAAAATCTCTGTGGGCTCTCGACACAACACACGGTGACCTTGGAGTCAGAGAACAGTGAATGTTATTGACAGCCCATCTGCTCACATCTCACTCATCTTCATCTTCTTCTCAGATCCAACCTTTCTTCTCCGCATATTTCGTCATTTTCTATCCACAAGTCATAACAATTGCAGACGCGTCTAGATCAGCCTTCCTCAAATCGATAAACGCGACTACCAGTCCAGAATTATTGTGGATGTGTTGAAAGGTACAGGTTCATATTCTCACTTGTCTCCAGGCTCGGACGCTGATCATCAAACACCAACACCTTTCTGTACACTCACAGTATGATGAGTATGACAAAAGACTATTACGAGTTAGATCCCGACGGAGATGTCATCCTCGTTTTTACCACGGCTGATCCAGACACTGCGAATCAAGCTCCCGGCCCCAACGCTGTCCCGAACGAGTCCACCAGACCGGCCCAGGTCACTGATGGCTCGGTCGGAAGGTCCTCAACTTCAGTTGCTGGTACGAAAGTGCAGAAATTTGAGCAGCTCGACAATAGGATGACTGACGCCCCGAAAGCTACCAGGGTGGTAAAAATGAGAGTCTCGTCAAAACATCTTTCCCTAGCCTCTCCGGTCTTCAAGAAGATGTTGCATGGGCCATGGAAAGAAGCTCAGGGCCTTCGCCTCGGCTACGTGGAAATAGAGATGGATGGGCAGAACATGGACGCCATGCTGTTATTGATGAAGGTTATTCATGGATATGGCCCCGATATTCCTCGCAATGTGACCCTTGCGATGGTGGTAAAGATCTCCACTCTCGCGGACTATTACAACTGCCACGAGGTTATCCATCTCGCAGTACAGTTGTGGATTCGGCCTTTACAGGTTGGAGTGATGATGAACTGTGACGAACTCGCTCAGTGGATTTGGATCTCTTGGGTTTTCCAACTCACTAACTTATTCCGCTATGCAACAAATTGCGCCGTTACGTATAGCAAGGGTCCAATATCCACCATCGGTTTGCCTATCCCGCAGCCCGTTATAGGTAAGCGTCCCTATGACAAATGAGACGCAGGGCAGAGCTCTGACAATAATATCAGATGCGATCGAAAAGAGACGCGAACAAGGCATCAAGACTACATTGGACTCTCTTCGTCGTCTGGTCAGCGAGCTGCGAGATGGTCGAGAATCATGCTCCTTTGAATGCGACTCCTTCCGACTCGGCGCTCTCACTAAACAACTACACGAGAAGGGCTTCCTAGGGCCGGTAGATGAAGGCACTATCCCTAGTATTAGTCTCTATCAACTAAATGACTTCCTTGTCGACATAAAGAGCCCAGCATGGCGCGAGGTTACTTCAAAACGCCGTCGCAATCATGATCAGCACCCAGGGCATCCTTGCACCTTACAGTCTCTGATAAAGCCTATCTTGAGCAACCTGACCTCGCACATGAGAGGGTACGAATATGCAGAATTCAAGGAGCTGCCATAGAAAAGAGTATCATTGTCATACCTAGCAGGATTGAGCAGCTCGATCATGATTCGACTGGAGGCAGGCTCGAGCTAAATTATGAGGTTCTAGGTACTCGAAATGGGATATCGTTGACAACAATAGACTCATCAAAATACGAACATGCCTGGCTTGTGCTTCCCCGGAGGGGAGGACAAGCAATAGCAATAGAAGGCTTTGCAGACATTACTGCTTGACAGGCTATCCTGCTTCACTAACAATACTCATGATGTTAGAAAGTGGTTGGCAATCCCTCAGTGCGATTGGTAGAATCGACCAGCACCTCCTAGATCACGTGTCACCCCAGTAACCAATTATAAGAAAACAATCCGGTAGTAAGGTCCACGGATATCTTATTCGGAGATACCCAGGACACGCGTCTCCAACTTTGGCTGCAACTACGACATGATTGGAGCACACCACGTACTTGATCCCGATGGGGATATAGTTCTTGTCTTTTCAATTATAAATCGCAATACTGCTTTTCCAAATGGGAACATCTCACTAGAATTTTCCAAACAGGTCGCCATAGCAGATCCTCAAACACCTGGGTCTGGCAATCGGCCGGCTGGCCACCAGGAAACATCAAAAGATTCCAAGGGAGACCAACGGATACGCGTGAGAGTATCATCCAAACATCTGACGCTTGCATCTCCCGTATTCGGAAGGATGTTTAATGGTCCATGGAAGGAATCTCAAATCCTTGCTGCTAAGCAGTGCGTCGAGATAGAAACTGAATGTTGGGATGTACATGCTATGCTGATCCTCATGAACATCATCCATGGGCGTGGCCGCAATGTTCCTCGACAAGTTACTCTCCAAACACTTTCCGAGATCGCGGCGTTGGTAGATTACTATGAGTGTTATGAGGTGGTGGACGTGGTGTCTGGTGTATGGTTCAATAATTTTTTTCTACAAATGCCCGTCGCACTCGGCAAGGACGTTATACTCTGGATTTTCATCTCTTGGGTCTTTCAACAACCTTTCGCATTTACCTCAGCAACAAAAATTGCGGCAACCCAGAGCCAACAACGGATCGATCCTGGTGACCTCCCAATCCCTAAGCGAATTTTGGGTATACCTTGACACACATGGTTCAGTTGAAAACTAGTCTGCTAACGAACAAATATGCATTTAGATAAAATTGAGGAGCACCGTCGGAATGGCGTCAAGTCTGCACTTGACATGTCCTACAATTTGGTTGCTGATCTACGCGATGGTCGCAAGCATTGCTCAGACGTCTGTGATGCTCTCCGTCTGGGTCTTTTCATCAAACAGATCCATGCTGGTGGTCAGCTTCCTCCTCTCCCAGCGGTCTCTATTCCCAACGTCAGCCTTGTGCAAGTTGCAAGTATACTACAAAAGACGCCTACTGTGCGATACTGTGATTCTACTGTAGAAAAACCCCAGCCCAGGATGTTCAGCACTGCTGTCGCGGAGGAACGTCATTCACCTTCGCCCCACGGATGCAGTCTGGCTCCCCTCATTCAGCCAATTATTCAGGACGTTCAGAACCGTATGAGGGGCTTTGAGCTTAGCGAATTCAAAGATGAATCAAAAGCGTCGGGTGGGCTCCGTGACTCTTCACAGTGAGGAACGTGCCCAATTTTCCTCAGAGTACACTTCCTGCCCGACTCGGAACGAACTTTGATATGGCTCCCGCATTGACGCAGTGATTCGAGGCCCAGGAATGGCAGCAATCGAGAGCTACTAGCTGCTGTATCCAAAGAGGTCTGGTTTATGATTCCAAGATTCACTGCTCTCTGCAGCAATTGAAACACCTCATTGTCACCAAGAAGCGTCTCATTAAACTCTGGAGATTGAGGTTGGCTGGGTTCGCGGCTTCGGGGGCGGAGCATCAGGCTTGACATATCTCATGAGTTGAAGGATCATTGATGAGCTGTGTGGCCATATGGCTGGGTGAAGAAGGTCCTTTTTTGGAATGTCTGGAGATAGAGACCATGAGACATTGAGAACCTTGCCGAATGGGATGAATCCTAGCCGCACAGAAACCTACGACATCGAAGAGCAAATGCGCTATTCGAGAGACTGAGGCAGGTTTAGGCATCCCTCCGCTGAGTGTAGATATGCCACATTGCTGACTTGCGAAGACAAGCCAAATGGCCGACTAGATAATGCAGAATGTAAGTCGTTCTATAATTACTCTATCGTATCGAAACAAACGGGTATCTCAGCACTAGAACGTATCAGCCACACCCCTCTTCTTCTCGTCCTCGCGTCTTTCATCCGTGAACCGCCACCACCACTCATGTGTAGGGTCCAGACTAGCCGTCCGCCTTTTTACCACCCCTTGGCCCTCCGCAGCGCTGTCAACCTCTTCCCACGGCTTCGGGCTGAGAATATAGTGAACAATTTTGACCTTGTCATCCCGCCAGATAGCGTCGTGGACTCCCTTACGACGTAATGTCTTGAGCGCATTATATATGTACGGTATGCCGACCCATCGGCCACGGAAGACATCAGCGAGAAGATCTTGGTCAGGGAAGGTGTAGGTCAGTGTTGCGGGGGAGTTGAGCTGGTCGATAATCTTATCATAGACACCTTTCGACGGATTGATGACGAGGAGGCCTGAGTTGCAGAGTCCAAGTCCACGGTCTGACGGGGCTCCGATGATCTGGGCTCTGTCGGGAGTGGCATGCTGTGACGTAAACGCGCAGTTGGCCGGGATCCTGTACAAGACTTCTGTCAATCCGGCTCCAACCATTCATTGAACCTCTCGAGACAAATGGACATACCAGTCCTTCGGATAATGGGGTTTCTTCAACGGATTGCAGACACAGGCATGGCTAGCCGCAAACACCCGATTTCCCTTCCCCCCTAACTCCGGCGCATCCAGCTCCAAATCCATCAATTCATCCATGTTTTGCATGACCAGCATATCGCTATCCAGTAGCACCACGCGTTCATACTCCACAAGTGAGAACGCGGTAAGCTTCGTCCACGTATCGTGAAATCGAGGATCATGGGTATATTCTTTCGGAAGGGAAGGCAGGAGATGCGGGACGCGCTGCTTCGGGAGTCCACGGGCGTTGACGGCGGCATGTCCTTCAGCGGGGAATGAGTCCGTGTAGAGCACGACGAGCGGGTACTTCGACCCAGTTTTGCGTAGCGAGTACTCGAGGGTGAAGAGGCCCGGGAGATAGTTTGTGTTGGTGATCAGGGTCGCCCATACTGCGCGGAATGAGCCGGTCATCTTTTCAGTGGACTGATGGCACGATTTGCCTTGTGCGTACCTTTTGTCGCGTCAATGGTGTGACTGGCACCATTGTTGCAGCGCATGGTGTAACAATGTCTGCAGAGGCAGACAGGCTGGTTAAGTGACGCACAGGTCAGGGGTGGCGATAATGATTTATCAATCGATAATCTGGCGGGGGTAGTCGGAGCGGAACAACCCGGGGAGGTTCTGGTCGGAGGCTCGAAGCTGATTGATAACACCATTTCTAGGCTCGGTTGCGCGACTGCGAATCTACGATTAGTATGACTTAGAACCATGCGTACAGTTACCGACCATATGGGAGAGTCTTACTCCCTGGAATAGCCAGACGCCTCAATGCGGAGGACTTTATTATTAGAGGAGTAGGTATTACGGAGTTTAGCTCTACGCTGAAGGTTTTAACATTCTCTCTACCTAGGTATTTGGGGCTCATTGGGGAACAAAGGTATAAATGCATAAACCTAGGAAAAGCAAAGACATAAAAGTATGTTCTAGATGCGTGCGACTGACGTTGAATTCTGAGTACGGCAAGCCATTGAGACAAATCCGAAAAAACGTCTGTAGGTGTTTAAGTATGTAGACCACTCAGAGTTCTGCCTAACTAGGATTACATTTCCATACCATTTGGTATTTTTACTATGTAGGGATTCAAATCATCATATTGTAGGGATTCAAATTGTTATATAGTAGGGATTAAATCGTCATATGGTAGGGATATCAAATGATTCAAATCATCATATAGTAGGGATTTGAATCACTATATAGTAGGGATTTGAATCATTTGAATAATTATATTATTCATATATTACTATACTTGGGTATATATATTTTAAATATGCAGTGTTAGTAGGTAGGTTCCCCTATGACCTTCTATATATATATATATTCTACCTATATAGGGCACTACCTTAGCATATAAGGATTTAATATCCCTACTATATAATGATTTGAATCATTTGATATCCCTACTATATGATGAAAAGAATCATTTGATATCCCTACCATATGACGATTTAAATCCCTACTATATGACGATTTGAATCCCTATCATATGACAATTTAAATCATTTAATATACCCAAGGGAAGAGAAATTGAAATCTAAAAATAGTTGGGTGCTTATTGCTGGCAGAAACTATCAAAAGTCTTACATACCCACAGACCTACAGATGTTTTTTCGGATTTGTCCCAATGGCTTGCTGTATCCGAGTACGACGGGAGCAGGATACAGGTCAGCCAACCTTTACTAAGGAGTTCAGCTAACCAAAGTAGGTCAGCTAACCCACATAACTTAAATATAAAAGCTTACCCAATCTTTTATATCTAAATCTAATTTCATATTCTATAATAATTTTTACTATTTCTTATAGCCTTAACTAGTTCTTAACTAGTTTATAATGTCATTCTTAGATAACTTTTATTATCTTAAGAATAATTAAATAGTAATTAATTCTCTTATTAATTTATCATCTCTTACACCTGAATCAGAGTATAATAAATTATTAAATAAAGTTGATAAAGTAATTTTATATTAATATAATACTATAAGTAGTAATCTAGATAAGATAGTATAAAGATATTAAGTTTAACTAATTCTTAACTAGTTACTAACTAGTCTATAGCCTATACTAATTATCCCTATTATATATAGAGGGATAAGGCCTGGAAATACTACTTAATTTATTAAGTATAGTAATTATTTACTAGAATATTTAAGATCTAATAAAAATAGCTATACTTATATTATAAAAAGTTATAGCTAGAACTTAGAAATCTTTAAGAAATTATTATATAATATAGGTATTAGTTCTTAACTAGTTTTTAACTAGTTACTAACTAGTCTAGATATAATATACTTATTAATAGGAGAGCTTATATTAAATAACCTTTTTACTACTTCTAGAGTATAATATTAAAAAATATATTTATTATTATATAGGGGTAAAAGTATGTAAATATTTATTACTAGAACTAAAGAATATTTATTATACTTAGGTTTTACTATCTATTCTAGAGTAAATATTAGAGATATACTCTAGAATTACTAATTCTAAATTAGTACCTAAGGAGTAAGCTATATATAGGTAAGAATTAGTTTCTAACTAGTTTATAACTAGTTACTAACTAAGTCCTAGGATATTCTATAGTATTAAATAGTAATTTAATTAAGATAATACCTACCTTTAATAAATAGTAATATATTAGCTAGTATTAAGATTAAGTAATACTTAGGTTAGTATATTATATAGATTAGACTAGTTAGTAACTAGTTACTAACTAGTCTAGTTAATCACCTAAGCTAAAATACCTTATATTATCTATTTAAATTCTAGAAGTCCTTGTTAAGGTTATTTCTATATAAGCCTTATAAATAGGGTAGTAAATATTAATCTAAATTATTTAAGAGATCTTCTTAGATCTAATAGCTCTAATTAGTAGCCTAGATTATATAAAGTTATTAAATAAAACTTAACCTACTAACTATAGTATAGTAAGTTACTACTAGTTATAGACTAGTTACTAACTAGTTACTAATTAGTCTACTAGACTAATATTTCTTTAGGGGTTATCCATCTATAGAGAGCTAGAAAGATATAGAAAATAATCTATAAGATTAGATTTAGAATTTATATTCTAGAGGATCTTAAGGCATACCTTTATACTATCTTTCTCTTAACTAGTATTTATACTTATCTACTACCTCTACTAAATAAGCTACTATAGCTTATTATAAATAAGATTCTAGATCTAATTAAGTAAATATAGAATCTAGATCTTACTTTAAGTAAGTTAACTAGTTACCTACTAGTTATAAACTAGTTTACTTTAAAATAGATATAAAAATAGAGACTAGTTACTAACTAGTTATAGGTATCTTTCTTTAGAGCCCTCTATTTTTATAGTTCTATTAATAGTATAATAGCTAGACCCTTTCTTAAATTTATAATAGCTTTATAAATTAGGACTAATTTATAACTATTATTATAAAAAAAAAAGCCCTTCTTTATCCTTATAGTTAGAATATTAATAATATTCTATATAAAATAGATTATAGGCTAGAGATTAAGGTAGGTAACTAGTCCTAAACTAGTTATAAACTAGTTATTAACTAGTTACTAGAATTATATCTAGAGGGTCTATACCTAGGATGATTATACTATAATTATCTATAGATTTAATTAGTAGATTAAGATTCTAAGATCTCTTAATAGCTTTAAAATTAATATATCCTATAAAAGGATTAAGAGAGAGTTTAATAAGGTAATCTTTATAATCTTTCTTTCTTAATATAGAAAAAGTAAGTAGACTAGTCCCTAACTAGTTATTAACTAGTTACTAACTAGTAAGTTCTTATACTCT